GAAATACCCGACATTCCATCAAGAATAACGGGACATCTACAAGGGTCAAAAGAAAATCTCTCCCCTCGAGCGCAACGCTTAAGTCACCCCGGCCAACCAAGATAGGGCCGGGATTGCACACAAATGGAGACGAGCATAGTCGCTCGCCAAATCGAAGCCACCTACGGGCACTCCTCGGGCCCGGGACTTGAGCTAAATTCATACAAGCATGTGAGTTCATACAAGGGCAGAAAATCCAAAATAAATAACAAGGTATAAACGCCCGAAGGCAACAAAGCAATATTAAACCGACCAAGAAGGCCGGCGATGTTCAAAACATACAATGAACGGGCACGCAGGCCCAAAGAACAGAAATTCAAATATCAAGGGCACGCAGGCCCGCTATCCAAAGAATACAAATATCAAACTTCCACATTATCGTCATTGTCGACGCCGGGAGAGTCGGGCGGGGGAATGATCGCGCCACATACAACCCGATGGGTGTGCCCGATGCCCTCGGTGACCAGGCCGGGATTTAGCAATGAGAGCTGGTCGACTGCAGAATTGAACCCGTCTTCCAGAGCACCGACTGCGTCCTCCTCGAGGTTCCGGATATGGGCAATAAGCTCAGCCCGACTCTTCAAAACCATTAGGTCCTCGGGCTCATCTTCGGCGGGTTGTTGAACAGCATTCAGTTCCTCAACCTGCTTGCCCAGGCGTTCGACTTCAGCAGCCAAGCGATCCCTGTCGGTCCGGAGCAACTCCCCTTCCTCAGTCAACCGCCCCGACTTCTCCTTTTCCAAGGTCAGCATCTCCCTCTCGGCATCAAGTATCGCGGTCTGCTCTTGGAACATCCCCTCGGAGCGTTCCAGAGCGACCTTCAACTTCCGCGAGCTCGCAGTCAAGGCCGCCTTCTCCCGCTCGAGCTCTTCAATACGAGCAGCATCCCCTGCATCCTCAAATAACACCAGAGCCATTTCGGCCATTTTAACCAGCCCGTCCACGCTGGCGACCAGCCGCGACTTCCTCTCCTCTTTAGTCATCCTCTTTATGGCCTCGGCTTCATGAGCGACCACGGTCGGAGGGAACCGCTCGAAAAAGCCCTCCTCCTTCCACGCGGGTCCTCTTCCTCTGGGTCAAAACGGCGCTGGCGTCAATCTCCTCGACCTCTGGATCCGATGCTGCTCCCGAGCTCGACGTCGAATCCACCCTCACCGGCTGAGGAACGTTCGTGCTTGGCGGTGGTCCCATTCTCGTCACTTGCGGGGCCGGCACGACCTTCTTGCCTCGCCTCTGGCCGGTTGACAATTTCAGGAGCCTCTCATGTCGGCTGGCCATCGTACCTGCACGAAGTAAAAGAAAAGTCAGTATCGAGCAAAACGCGTAAATAAATGACGAGTAAAGAATTTCAAACAAACAACCTAACAGGCGGGCTGCCTGCCTGTATGTTGAACATTCCACCAACGCCTTGGTGTCGATCGGGCGAGCCTCGAATGTCGGGTAACCGTCCTTGTCGAGGATATCATTCCCTTCCCGCGTAACCCATTGGGCGGGATGAAAACTGTCGACAAAGTTACAGAGAGCCTCATACGCCCGCTGATCCTCCGTGCACATGTCCCCGACTGCGGTATGGAAATAACCGGTTCCATGCTGGAAGTGTCGGGACATCCAGTACACCGGGAACTTAGCCCGACGTCCTAACACGGGGCTCCCGTCATCGACCAACATTGCTTCCCCGTCATCATCGCTGACCGGCCCTTCCTCCTCGAAGAGGGAATCTACAGCAGAGTCGGTAGTAGGGCGTACCACATACCACTTATCCTTGAACCCCCTCACAGAGTCCATGTACATCCTAAACAGTCTCCTCGACTGCTTCAGGGACACCCAGCTGTGCTTCCCTCCTCGGGACTGACGCTGTAGGTGGAATACCCTAAAGAAGAGAGGGATGGTCGCCCCTATCCTTAAGTAGCGACACGTCAGCTCAAACGCCCGGATGAAGGCGAGAGAGTTTGGGTGTAGCTAGGACGGGGCCAGCTCCAAATGCGTAAAGACCCCGGTCTCAAAGTCTATGAACGGCAGCCGCAGCCCCAAGTCTTTAAACGCGATCTCGTACATCGCAAAGCTGTAGTCCGGGTACATCGAACAAATTCTGGCGTTGGTCGACGGCAGCATGACCTCGAAATTCGGCTGAAAGTCGGGCTGGTCCTGCCCCTCTTCGATAGCGGTGAATGGATGTCGGTCGTCCCGACTGTATATCGACGCCGTCCCCCGAGGCTCGGCGCCCACCCATTCCAGCGATGGGTCGGTCACTGTGTCTATAAGGTTGGCCGACTTGTCGGCACTCTGTTCTTCGCTGTCACGACGACCGGAGGAGCTCGGCTCATCCGCCATGGTTACCTGCAGAGCACGGGAAACCAATCAGATTGAGCATGAAGTCCTATGCTCGACATAATCATGTCGTCCATACACTACCACACAAGTCCATTTTCACAAGTGGATGCCTCCCCGACTCTCCTGAATCCAGTGTTCTTCCACAAACCAACTGCGCGGCCACTCTTCAAGCATGTCGATCCGAGGTATGAACATGGCGAGCCGCATTATGAAGCCCACGGCCACAACCATAAACATACCGGGCACCGTCATGAATCAGGCGCCCAGGATCATGAAGACCCCGGGCAGCTCTGAAGTTTTTCACCTAAAACTATGAATGTGTCGGCCACAAGTATGCGTTTGCCGGCCCTAGACATGAATCTGTCGGGCAAAACACGAGTTTACCGGGCTAACCCCACATTAACGGTCCTAAAACATCTACAATTTCCAAGAATCATGCATTCTAAAACAGGAAAATAAAGAAAATGGATCACTTACTTGGATCAAAGTTGGGATTTGGCTAAGAAATGAAGAATCTGAGACGGGAAGTCACGATTGGAGAGAGTGTTGAGAGTTGCAACGAAGAGAGCACGGAGAACGGAAAACGTATTATGGGGCCCAAGGACCCTATTTATAGTGATGACGTGGAATACCAAACGTCACCTCGTTCAGCCACGGACTCCATCTCCTCGACGCACTGCACCCAACGCAATGATGGCCCTACCCCCCTAGGGTGGCGGCACAACTCCCGAAAGATGCCTCGTGTGCTCGACTGACGCGCCCGGTACGGATCCTCCACGCATCCACCACCGACGACGTCTCCGAGCACGGCACGAGGAGACCCCTCGAGGGTCCACGCCTCCATCCCGGGCACGAGACCTCAGCGATGGAACAACTGTTTCAAGTCATGGCTCCTCGCAAAGGAACCACGACTTGGGGGGCTCCTGTTCTGGACTGGGCCCGACAGGCCCAAAAGCATTACTAAGGCCCAGTCCAAAGGGACTCACTAAGGACCACACTGGGCAAAGGGGGTCACGTCCATGCCCGACACCCTGATGTCCACCTCGACATCTCGGTGTCTAGCCCCACGATGAAGTCCTGCTCGACAGCATGCCGTCCAGCTCTATGTCCTGGCTTCCAGCTCGACACTCGCCGTCGAGCTCGAGGTCTTGACGTCGAGCTCGGCACCATGCTGTGCAGCTCGACATGGTCTCGAGCTAACTTGCTAGGGCAGACTTAGTCCTCCATTGCCCCAACGATACTCCGAGAAGACCGCGTCTCCGTCCGCCCGCATTTCACGCAGCATATCCAGGAAGGGGACCACGTGCTGGTCCCCACTACCCACGTAGAACCTGGCAGTTCCTCCATTGGGCCAAATCCGCCCGGCCCAATGAAGAAACCTTGGCCCAGCGCTGGGGGCTATAAATACCCTCTGCTTCCAGAGGGTCAGGTATTCATCATTCTAACCTCAACTCTATTATCTGCTCGTACTCCCACTGACTTTAGCATCGGAGTGCCTTGCAGGTACCCCCCCCTCCTCGTTCAAAAAGCCTTCAGCTCGGAGTAAGCCGTGACGGTCCAAACCTTCTGATCAGGTCAGATCAATTTAGATGACGTAATTATGTTTAAAAGGGACGGTGTAATGATGAAGGTTGATTGAAAGAAAAAAAATTATAATAAATGGTGGAAGTTGAAAATTTATACAAGTATAAAAAAAATTAAAAATTTTTTTTTTGTGAATGTAGAATATTTTAAGTTTTAATATTAATATATTAAATTTTTCAAAAAAATAAATAAATTTTATAAAATTAGTTCTGATTCTTTGATTTAACGGTTTAAAACAATTTAATTCAACTTTTCTAATTTTAGTTAAATTTAAATCTACTCACAGTTTTGAAAGATCTAACTCTGACTTTTAATGTAACGATTGAACCAGTTGGTTAGGTTCGGTTTAAAAGAAATTGGTTTATATATGATGGTGGTCCTTGTCATTAAATTAAGGTATTTATCTTCAGCAGTAAAAACAAAAGCTCACAACTCTGATTAATATAAATAATTTCCATTGACTTTAATTCCCTCAATAAAACAGGTAAACTCATTGGATACAGTTAAGAAAAGTAGTTCCAAAGCTGAGTAATTTAACAGACGAAAGCCTCAAAAAGAATTGTGAGGGAAGCAAGCATAAAAGCGAGTGCCTCACGTCGTTACCAACCAACTCAACCTCTAATTTGGTTTTCCCAAAGTACAATTTTTGTTTAGCCATAAAAAGTAGGAAAAGAATAATGAATGGCAATTTATGTTATATAAACACAAAGATAAGGGCAAATTCGTCAAATTAATTCACAAATTCCACAATAATATAGTAATACAGCAAACTGTATTATCTGTCATTTCATTTGTCATAATTTTTTTCTTAATCCTACCATAGTAGTATTTTAGTATTTTGTTATTATATATATATATATATATATATATATATATATATATATATATATATATATATATATATATATATATATATATATATATATATATATATATATATATATATATATATATATATATATATATATATAATCGCTCATTTGCTTCTACCTTTCTTCTATCATCTTCACGCTTCGCACTCAACACTAGACAGACACAAAATAGTAATGGAGGAGGTTCAAAAACCAACCGAAAACACAAATCCAGAACCTTCAGACTCCAACAATGGCGAAACGTTCTTCGATGATATAGACAGCAACTGTTCCACTCCTTACGTGAGCGCTCCTTCAAGTCCAGGGCGCGGCGGACCACCTATCTCCTCCGGTTACTTCTACAGTGCTCCGGCAAGTCCGTTACATTTTTCTATAACCGCTTCTTCCTCTTACCACCACCAAAGTACAACAAACTCTTGTGTTCCTCTGAGTTACGAGTTCGAATTTTCGGCTCGGTTCGGATCCACTGGTTCGGCCGTTCCCGGTTCAATGAGCTCCGCGGATGAGTTGTTCCTCAACGGCCAGATCCGTCCCATGAAGCTTTCTTCTCACTTGGAACGTCCTCAGGTTCTGGCTCCTTTGCTGGATCTGGAAGAAGAAGATGAAGAGGAAAGCGAAGTTGTTCGGGGAAGAGATCTGAGGCTGAGAGATAAATCTGTTAGGAGAAGAACCAGATCTATGTCGCCGTTGAGAAGTAACACGCGTATGGAGTGGACAGAGAACGAGAACAAGGAAGATGAACATGATGAAAATGAAGTTTCTGAGATTGAAAACCATGGCAATGAAAATGGCGAAATGGAGAATGTTGAAGTTGATGAGATGGGTTTGGAGAGAATAGAGATAATAGCACCTTCAGACTCAGCTTCATCTTCTAGATCTTCTTCAGCTGGAAGAAGCTCTAAGAGATGGGTTTTCTTGAAGGATTTTCTAAGAAGCAAAAGTGAAGGAAGAAGCAACAACAAGTTTTGGTCAACCATTTCATTTTCTCCAATAAAAGACAAGAAATCAAACTCCAACAATCAAAATCTACATCCCCAGATTTCAAAAGAGAAAACTTGTGAAACACAGAGAAATGGTTCATCAAGTAAAGGTAGTTCTTCTTCTACGCAGAGTTGGGCTAAGAAAATGACGGGAAAGCCCATGAATGGTGTTGGGAAACGACGCGTTCCACCTTCTCCACATGAGTTACACTATAAAGCAAACAGAGCACAAGCTGAAGAGTTGAGGAAAAAGACGTTTTTGCCCTACAGACAAGGTTTGCTTGGTTGTTTGGGTTTTAGTTCTAAGGGTTATGGAGCCATGAATGGCTTTGCTAGAGCCTTAAACCCTGTTTCCTCAAGGTAAATTAATCCCATATTTCTTTGGGTTCAAATTGTACATATCATTATCATTATCGTGATCATTAGTCTTATAATTATTTCTTTAAATCATTTTGGAACCATTAATCCTTTAGCTTTAAGGTCACTCCCCCCGTGGTGGAGAGAATTATACGAGGATGAAGATGAAGATGATAAGAAAAAAACTATGTAGAATATACTGTTGTACTCGCAGCATTTTATTATTTACACTATTGCTGTGAAGTAACTAGAGTTTATTTGTTATTTATTATTATTACTATTAATATATTATATTCACACTTGTTTTTGTGAAGTTAAATGCATGAGTTACTTAAGGTTAAACTAAGTTTATGTAATGTCATTATCATCACTATGCTTACACTATGAACGAGTTACGTTTATTTCAATGTAAAGAGGTGGGTGGGGAGTGTTACAGAATCCGCGTGGTGTGGGGAGCCAAGTAGTTGGGTAAGGTCCCATAACAACAGTAACAACATGGAAATAAACACCCAATCAATACAACACAATTGAAAGAAAGATGCTTGTGTTTTTGTTTGCATCTTTAAAGTTCTCAAGTATTTGTTGTATATAGTAGATGCAAATTGCACGAGATAGTTGTCGGGATCATGGTAATAAAAACGAGTTTGCTGGGTCCGAACTCCTATTATAATTGTGTTATGATGATAGAGATGTGTTTAGGTTTAGGATAAACATGTTGGCAAATCTATAAAGACAAGATGTGGACGTAAAGTAGATTTAGATTTTTATGATTATTATAACTTAGATTGGAACTCATGAGATGTTATATTTTCTTTTTGGTTGCGTCTGAGTTACTAGTTTTTTCTTTCTTTTTATAACTACTCTTTTCAACCATCTATTTGCACGTTGCACCCTCAGATTTTTTCTAACTTGCTACCCCACTCACTACTTTAGTTAAATGATTTATGTTGATTATTCTTTAGTTGTTACTGTAGTTGAAAGAAAATTTGAAAATTGAACTTAATACTACGAAACATGAGTCTGCATCAAAGGCCCCAGCTTATTTAATAAGCTGGCCGGCGTTTGAATTCGAATAGCTGTTTCATAAGTTGTGTGGCTAATTTTATTACAAAATATTTTGATTGGCTTTTAAGTTTCGTTAAAGATAAGTGATTAGTGAAGAATGTTTAGTGGGAAACTAATTCTTTTTCTTTCTTTTTCTGGTTTCTTGTACTGGAATAGTTCTTGTAGTACTAAATAGGACAATTCTATTCCCTAAAAAAGAAATATATAAAAATGTTGGACAATTCCATGATGAAATTTCATAAAAGTTCATGTGATAACTAGCTGGGCGGAGATTCTTTACTTTTGGTGAATTGCCCAAATTACGTCGTGGAAATAATCAAGCAATGGTTTTTGATAATTTCTTAATAAATTCTTTTGGGATGAATCAAACCTTTGAAAATTCCAAAATATTTTTTTGATATGTATCTCTGAACGCATTATAAAGTTGTGTTTCGAATATGAATATTCGAAAGCACTCTAAAATGCGAGAATATGTGTTTTGGATATGCATCTTCGAAACACTAGACATAATGGTTGTCAAAAACAAAGATTTGTTTTGTGGCAATTTTTTTTAAACATCAATGTCTATACGTAACAAAAACAAAGATTTGATACGTAATACGATTAAAATGTTAATAAACACGTAAACAGAAAATGATACAAACATAACAATGAATTTGAAATTCTGACACTGGCAAAACATGTTAATACTGATGTCCCAACATCAGAACACAATGTCAAGACAGATGTTACGACATTTGCTGACAGACAGAACAAATATATCAAAACTGTAAGTGCAACGTCACCTACTTTGGGGGCTACCAAGCCAAGAAGAAAATTCACTATGATAGTATTAGTTCAAAGCTTAAACAATCTCAATTTACAACTTTTTGTCTAATCACTATTTTGTGCAACTTCTACCTAGAAACATTCTAGATATGAGATCTCCCTCTCACTTCCTACCAATCACTTTGGTGATAAAATACAGTCACAATCCCAGTGACTAGAATAAAAAAACAGAAGATTACACTTCCAATAAAGAATACTCAACTCTTTGCTTAAAAACTCATGAGTGAAAACAATACTAAGCTTCAACTAAGAACAATAACTTGACAAACAATCAAGTAACAATCAGTCTACCTCACTGTATCAAAAGATACATGGGTGACTTACAAAAAGCACAAGAGACTTTCAAAACCTAAGACTTTAGACTTCCCCTAATTTTACAATTGTGAAAAGTTAAATTATGTTACGTCTAGGTTTCTCTTTAAATACTCCTCGGTAGTCCATGTGCTTTGAAATCTTCACCCGAGTATTTCTTGATCCACAAGCTGAGGGCTGCACCAATTATGTAGAAAAATCTCCTTAAATCTTGGAACAAAACATCAAGTTTCCTAAATTGTCTCAACATCCAATTTTAGAAACTTATGTACAGTTTGAGATTAGATCACTTGTTCCAGATTAAATCTTCTTAGCCTGCCAAAATTATTGAGATATGTCCAAAAGAAATATCATAAAATCAAATCAAATCTGTCAAGATTTAAAATAGTCAACACTGATGTTCTGGTTCAGCATGTCACAACATCTGTCAGAATATTTATCTTCAATGAAAGCTAACACTCTGCTGTATCACTTTGATCAAGATGTTATAAAATCTTGCCCAACATCTGTTATGAACCATATTTTAACAAAATTCCCGTCAATCCTAAAACCATGGATCTAACAATCTACGCTTTGGCAAATTTCTCCTAAAACAACCTTAGCACAATTAAACTGGAGAGAGAAATACAACCACATTAATAACAAAATCTACATGCAAAGATGTAAGCTTTGTACAAACTGCAAAATAAATTGTATCAAAAATAACACGGTTGTTTCAAATTTATCTAGATTATTCCCCCTGTCACAAGGAACCAATTCTTGTCACAGAGAATCAATTCTCCCCCTTAAGGGGAAAATCCAAATCACCAGAGAAAGAAGAAACTTTTCCTGAAGCACAAGAAAACCAATCTTGAACTATCCAAGGTTACACATTATTAGAAGAACATGCAGCAAAAGCAACACACATAAGTCAGAGCACTAGAGCACTAGGTAGGATGTTAGAACATCTGGTAAGACAGGCTGCACACAACCACATCAGTAGTAGCATCAGAAGCAGAAACACAAGACACACATGATAGACAATCATGCTCTCCCTAAAATGTTGCATACAAAAATCAACAACACTAGACAACTATTAGCCAAGAATTTTAGACTAAGGCAGCAATAACGACATGAGTTTTTTGAAGTACATAACTAAAGGGGTATCAGGCGAAGAGAGGATTGTTGAAATGAGGGCGTCGAACTTAGCAGCGCCGAAGGTTTTAGACTCAACAAAATTTCCAGTAGAACTAACCAAATGGCTCAAAGAAAGGCTTCAAGGACGCAATCTTATCGAAACCAAGTTGAATATACAGGCAATTGACACAAAGGAGTTGGCAAAACGGTTTCCAAGAATGTGGGGAAGTTGTCAAAAGCAGTTTTTGCATGAACTTAATATGTGGCAGGCTACGAATGGTCGAACGATTAGATAGCAGTTATTTTTATATTTATTTAAGCAAAGTTTGTATTCAGTTCTAAAGGTCACACTTTGTAGCGTTGTGAGGAAAACACTCAAAGTACCAAGTGTCTGAGCGAAACAAGTGAATTCCAGGAATCTATGTATTGCGTCCAACTTTAATTCAAAGCATTTTACCTCTTTAAGTTTCAGAGTTTTTGTTTTATATTTTGTCTTTGTTTTGAAATTATCTTTGTTTTCCTTGTTACCTTTACGATTCAATTTTTACCCAGTTCAAACACCAAAACTATACCAAACTTAATACTAAGTCTATGATTCATGTAGTCGATTCTGCAAGTAACCTTTAATTATGAGGCTAGAGATTATCCTCCAGAGATCCGTGCGAACAACAACACAATATTTAATCAACATGTCAAGAAATGTGATATAACATCAGGACACACACACACACAAAACTTTACTCCCATTTTTAGTCAAAAATAGACAAAAATAGAGTAAAAGAAACAGAAACAGAAACTAAACACTCACTCAAACTTGAAACAAAAACTAAGGGAACAAAAAAATAAATAAAAGAAAGACACATAGCTGCTGGAAACAAAACAAATGCAACAAAAAATAACATAACAAAAAAAATCAGACCTTTACAGACTCAACAGAGAAAAACTTTTTTTATATATAAAAAATTATCCAATTCTTCCTCCTGAGTCAATGAAATTGACCCAATCTTCATCAGCATCTGAGTTTGAATCATGTAACTGAACATGATTTTTCTTGAAGGACTTCATCTTTGTTACAGACTTCTTCCCTATCCTAGATGCTCTAGTAGAAGTTCTAACATATGTTTCAATAGTGTACACAACCTTCTTTGAAACATAACTCACTTCCTTCTTGGTTTCCAGCAACTGAACCTCTTTTAACATCAATATTTTTGGAATATTGGCTTATGTTGAAACGTAGTTTGAGAGGAAGAACAACCGACAAGGTCTTAATTGAAATTAAAGTTACCTTGTTTGTAACGATACCTTGCTTATAACGCATGACCAGTCAAGGAGAGAGTGTTTGGAAGAACTTATAATCATCCTTATTAACAATGCACTACTCACCACAGGAGATAGACACTTCCTTGATGTTTTTTTTTCTCTTTCCAAGCTTTGACAGCAGGGGATTCTCACACCATTTGAACTGACTCTGTCTTAGTCGGAGAAAACTTCATTCCAACCCGTGAATGCTCTCACTCATCAGCAGTAGACTTTCCAAAAATATCCCTCAAGTTCTCAATAAGATTTGCATTCAAGTCCAAATAAAACATCTTCCAATAGATTCCATGAGGTCCCAAGCTTAGGAGTAGAACTTTTATCTAAAACAAAACCTCTGACAAAGATATGACCAATAAAAATGAGTTATGT